CCGAAATTCATCTTGATGCGATGAGTCTAGCAGACACCATCAAGGAAAAAAATCAAGCATCAAACCAAGACTGTGCCAAAGCAATGATATTCCTACGCCATCATCATGATGAAGGCTTGGAAATAGAATATCTCACTATTAAAGATCCAGTCATATTGTGGAATAATTTGAAAGAAAGATATGACCACCTGAAGATGGTCGTTCTTCCACATGCACGTTATGATTGAACTCATCTAAGGCTACAAGATTTTAAATCTATCAGTGAGTATAATTTTGCTATGTTCAGAATTATTTTCCAATTGAAATTATACAGTGATAATATTACTGATCATGATATGTTGGAAAAAACTTTCACCATTTTTCATGTCTCGAATATGCTCTTGCAACGGCAATATCGAGAGATGGGATTCAAAAAGTATTCTGAACTTATCTCACATCTTCTTGTAGCCGAGCAACATAATGGGCTATTAATGAAAAACCATGAAAGTTGACCTACGAGTTCTTGTCCATTCCCTAAAGTGAATGAGACGAACTTCCACCAAGCTAAGCATGGAAGAGGACGTGGCCCCAGTCGTGGTCATGACCGTGGTCGGGGAAGAAACACTAATCATGGTAATAATAATGCACCAAAGAACCTTCCTCACCCCCAGCAGTGGAAAAGGAAGGAACAAAAGCATGAAGCGGTGCAAGCAGCAAAGGCAGAAAATGCATGTTGTATATGTGGAGGAAAAAGGGCATTGGTCACGTACCCGTCGTACGCCAGAGTACCTGTTGAGCTATATCAAGCCTCCCTGAAGAAGACAGAGAAAAATATTGAAGCAAATTTTATTTCTGAAGATAATTTAGACTTCATGCATTTGGATGTAGCTGATTACTTTGCACTCTCGGAAGGAGAAACAAGTCATGTGATCGGTGATGAATCTATAGAAATATAAATATTTTATTTTTTTAAATTTGTAGTAGATAGTTTGGTTATGTAATTGTTGTACATAAATAAAAGTTATGCTTTGATAATGATGTTTACTATCATATTTATTTTATTTATGTCATTTTGAAAAAAAAATTTCTCATGATACCAGAAGTGTCTGAGAGATATTTGGTAGTACAAAATTTATCAAAAGATCCTGAAGAGCTAACTGTTTGTCTAGAAGACACATGACACAAGTAGTGCCTGAATAATATTTGATTGTGGACAATAAATTGAAGGCTCCCGAAGATCTTATATGCAAATTTGTCATTCATATTATATGATTGTGGTCAAAACATATATTGTAATAAATCAGAAGTTTACTAATACGAATGGCTATCATACTGAGACTATAAATAATTGAAAGATTGAAAATCTTCATGTTTCCACAATGATAGGGGTAAAATAATATGTATATGAGAACTTACCCGCCTTATTATTCAATTTGTACTACATCATGTATCACAGTAAACCAAAAGTTTATTAATGCAAAAGTTTATGCTATAGTAAACCAGAAGCTTACTAAGAGATAGCACATGCCATGATAAACTTGAAGTTTTCATTTGCCATTTTTAAATGAGCTATTTGAGAATTCAGATAAGCATATACTGAATAACTAGAAGATTCTTCAGGAATTCTCTTGTGTTGCTTATTCTTATAATAAATTGATTATACCAGCTAAAGTTGGGACTAAGACCCCTGAATTCTGGAATATATATAAAAGGTGAATATGGGCCCATTCACCTATCATGTGAACCATTAATAGATGCATATATAAGATGGTTACATGTGTGTTTATTGTCAACCTGCAATTTGGCATTTGAAATTGCTTTTCTCAATTAAGAGCATAATTTCCAGATTATGAAATCAAGATAGTTCATCTTGATGATGCTGGTTTATATCCAAGCTAGTTTAGCATTGAATACCTCCTATTAATGGCTAAACTATTGCTTATGAGAACATAGCCTCATGTGTTTGTCTAAGATTTTCTAAATTGCATACAACAACACTTGTATGCATCAGACCAACAATATATGATATGTCCTCCCCTCACAATTGGTTTAGGATCAGAAACCAAATATTTTTACTATCTAATAACTTTTGATGTGTGGTATATGATTAATTTCTCTACCACAATGCACAGAGATAGGTTTCCCAAAGAAGATTGGGGATATGTATTAGTTTTTCTAACATTTGGGGGATGAAATAAACAGCTGAAAAATATGATATATGAATCGAATTATCATTAATATGATCCTCACTTAGAAGATAATTCAAGTCAAATGCCAGAAGCATTTGTTGATTCAAAATTAAATATCATATTTCAGCTGCAAATGCTCATATTAAAATTAAAGTCCTTGAAGGATAAATTTTACTGCACGCATGAAGCGTAATAAACTGATCGGTTCCGAAGGTAACAATCCTTGGAAAATAATAGGATCAAATGATCGAAATGATCATAATGAGGAGGATATGAGCTCTAGAAGAGCCCACGACATAACATTTCATGATAACTCCAGAAGAAGTTCAGGTACCTGAAAATAAAGAAAGTGATAAGATCTCAACAAGTTATGTCGCTTAGGAACCGATACAAAATAATCGTCGATGATATATTTGATACAATATAGTTCACAATATTGTGAAAGATTATGAGGATCGGACCTGTAGTCCAAATACCTGAAGATGTCATGCCATCTAAATGCAAGTCATAACCAATATGACTCATTTGATTAAGTCTATATGAAAATCCCTGAAGGATTTAAAATGCCTGAAGCAAATCTAAATCTCGGGAAATGTATTCAATCAGATTACAAAGATCTTTGTATGGTTTAAAACAATCTTGGCGTATGTGGTATAATCGCCTTAGTAAATATTTGCTGAAAGAGGGTTACATAAATGATGTTATTTGTCCATCTATTTTGGCATCAGAATTTGTTATACTTGCTGTTTATGTTGATGACATAAATCTTGTTGGAACTCTGGAGGAGCTCCAAAAGGCAATTGAATATCTTAAGAAAGAATTTGAGAAGAAAGATCTTGGAAAGACAAAACTTTATCTTGGTCTGCAAATTGAACATTTAGCAGACGTGATCTTTATCCATCAATCTACTTATATAGAAAAGGATCTTAAAACGCTTTTACATGGACAAAGTGCACCCATTGAGTACACCAATGGTTGTTCGATCACTTGAAGTGAATAAGAATTTGTTCCGACCTCCAGAAGAGGATGAGAAACTCCCTAGTCCCGAAATACCTTATCTTAGTGCAATTGGTGCACTTATGTATCTTGGTAATGCTACAAGGCCTAACATACCATTTTCTGTTAATTTACTAGCAAGATATAGTTATTCCCTTACACGGAGACATTGAACGGGATTAAGCATATATTGCGATATTTAAAGGGAACACTTGATATGGGTTTATTTTATTCTAACAAAGGTAGTGTAGATCTTGTTGGTTATGCAGATGCAGGTTATTTATCTGATCCACATAAAGCTCGATCTCAAACTGGATACATATTTACATGTGGAGGTACTATCATATCATGTCGCTCCACAAAGCAATCTATTGTTGCTACTTCTTCAAATCATACTGAGATAATACCTATTCATGAAGCAAGTAGAGAATGTATATGGTCGGGATCAGTAATTCAATTTATTCAAGAAAAATACGTTTTGGAATGTGATAAAAGATCCACAATTTTATACAAAGGCAATGCTGAATTAAATGGGAAATTTATAAAAGGTGATAAATAGTAACATTGATGTGCAACAAATCCGTTCAAGTAACAATCCGACAGATTTATTCACTAAATCTTTGCCAACTTAAACTTTTGAGAAGATGGTATACAAGATTGGAATGTGGATACTCAAATATTTGAAACATGATTTTTATCAGGGGGAGTAAAATACGCGCTATACTCTTTTTCCCTTACTAAGATTTTTTCCACAGGGTTTTCCTTATAAGGTTTTTTTTGAGACAACTAGTTATGCGTATTACTAAATATGTGTACTCTTTTTCCTTCACTAGAATTTTTTTCCATGGGTTTTTTCCTAGTAAGGTTTTAATGAGGCACATTATCTTTTAATGAACATCCAAGGGGGAGTGTTATAAATATATTATTATGGATGTTCATTTAATACACTGTTGTAAATAAGCTTCCTGAAGAAGCTTATCTATATGATACTTCGTCATAAATATATTTATCTATTTAGTACTCTATTAGAAATAAGTCTCTTGAAGAAGCTTATCCTTTCAGTACCCCGTTATGGATAAATATCACACCCGATATAAGATTATCTATATCTTGTATAATGACCTTATCATTTCGGTACCCCGTTATGGATAAACATTACCCCCGGTAGAAGATTATCCATATCTGGTATAATGAGCTTATCCTTTCGGTACCCCGTTATGGATAAACATTACCCCCGGTAGAAGATTATCCATATCTGGTATAATGAGCTTATCCTTTCGGTACCCCGTTATGGATAAACATTACCCCCGATAAAAGATTATTCATATCTGGTATAATGAGCTTATCCTTTCAGTACCCCGTTATGGATAAATATTACTCCCGATAAAAGATTATCCATATCTGGTATAATGAGCTTATCCTTTCGGTACCCCGTTATGAATAAACATTACCCCCGATAAAAAGATTATCTATATCTGGTACAGTAACAGCTTACACAGCAGCTTGCAGAAGCAGCTTACACAGCAACTTGCTTTCTTCTATAAATAGAGGAAATTTCAGTTTAATATGTACATAAGTTTGAAATTTAAATAATATATCGGTTTCTCTCTATACTTGTCTTTACTTAACGGTCTTTATTTTATAACAGAATAGTATATAAGACTATTCTAGTCTCTAAGTTAAAACTACGTTCTGGTAGCAAGTGTTGTCCAAAGAGAAAGGCCAAGGCCCAAGGGGGAGGCAAAATGACAGAAAAATAAAATATAGTAGCACATTGATAACATCAAAGATATCATAAGGGTCCTATTGTTAATATCTAGTTGTATAGCACATCCAAAGTGAAGATAAAGCATTTGTTTTCTTACCCAAATAAACTGCAAAAACAGCCATTTTTCCATTGCGCTTTTGAGGGACAAAAGCCATGGTGCCGAACTCTTCGTTTCTCCTCTCCAAGATTTCTTTTCCATGTAATTCCTCTCTTCCTCAGAGTGACACTTACACACTATTGCTGTTATGTTTACTGCTTCTTAATCTTAGTATAGAAACAAGAAATTAGAAATTATGGAATTTTTTCTTATGTTCGCTCACTTTCTTGGCTGTGGACTGTGGTTGAGGGAAATGTTCAATTTGGCTTCTTAACCTCACCGGGCCAATAGAAACATGACATGTATTTGCATACACAGTTCTCTTACTTAATCATAGTTAATTAATGCATGTTTTTACTTTATCAAATTACTTTTGACAATTGGTTTGGTGTAAATAACAGGTGCGGTTAAGTATTTACCATAATACTCCTTCCGTCTCAATCTATGTAAAATGAGAATTTTGAAATTGAATTGTTTCTATACAAGGAAATATGATTTTTTTTTTTGACAGATTGAAAAGGAAAATAGGCTACACAAGATCATCTAACAATGCTTTATCCTGGTTATGGCTACTGCTTCTTAGCATTAAAACAAGAAAAAACTGTGGAATTTTTTTAATATTTCTTCAGTTTCTGAATGCTTTGGCTATTTTTTTATTTTTTTAAAACTTTCTTGTCTATGGTGTGAGAAAAAAAGGGTTCGATTTGTCCTCTAACAGTCTCTTTCTTTGTTCTTTTCCATTTTGGAAAATCTTTGCTTGAACTTGTGGGTTTATTGAGTTGTGTTCTGTTTTTTCTTACCTTTTTTTCCCCATTCAAAGAGAAATTTAGATGTGATATACATGCCATGTTCACTTTAATAGCTCTGCTGTGAAGAATAATGTGAATGAATGCCTTTTTCTTGTTTGCTCTCCGTTTGAATTAGATTAAATGCTATATTAGCCCCAATAATTCGTTAAACTTAATTACATTTGTTCTAGTAGCATAACGGAAAAGCCTTCCATGTCAATAATATCTTTGCTCGTGCCAATTATACATCGCAAGAGAGTCAATGACTGCATCTTTTGATGCAGTGCTAGTACATTTATGACTTCTTAATTGGCTTGCAAGAACTACTACGTCTCAATGCCAAGCAACTTGGGGTCAGCTATATGATGAATTAGCTCCAGTTTGATCCATTTCATTCCAATGTTGTGTGTTCCTAGGAGCACGTTCCAATTTTGGGAAGATTCATCATAAACTAACTAGTTTCGTGGTAGCGGTTTAACATACAATCCTCCTTATCCGGGTTTTGGACTGGCAATGTGAGCTCATGTAGGATTTTAATCTCACAAAGGGAACAATTTGTTCGAGGCATTAGAAAAATTTGTCTTCATGTTGCTGTGAAAAATTTCCATACTTAAATATCGATAGTGCTCATGGAAAAATGAGAAAAGAATAGGGAAATAGCAGGATTACCGAAATTATTGGTTTTCCTGTGTAGTTTGCCAGTAGATACAATGTAGGTTGTAGGATCCTTTAAGCAACATTTGACAGCCTTTGATAGGTAATCGTTATGGTTTGTCATGCATAAATCCCTTTATTAAACTGCTTGTTTTATTCTCAATTCAGATACTCTTTCAGCTTGTCACACAACTCACAGACAGAAGTCCATGTTCCAGTGCTGCTCAGCTGTCACATTACAAGATAAAAGGTAACTTAACTTTTAACCAAAATGTCAATCTTTTGTAGCTGAAAAAGAAAATATTTCAGGGTTAGGGAACAAAAAGTAAATATATTGCATTATGAGGACAATATGAAGCGCAGATCTCTCCTGTTTTTTCTGATTACATCTGGCATATCTCCCGCTCTCCCAGCTTATGGGAAAACAAAGAGCAAAAACCCATATGATGAAAGACGCTTGCTAGAGCAAAACAAACGGATCCAAAGAGAAAATAATGCCCCTGAAGAGTTCCCCAGTTTCATCAGAGAAGGTTTGTTTGTCTACCCATGAGACACCGTGTGAGTGGAAATGACCATGTTGTTTATTACCCAAGTTTTTAAGACATCAGTAGTTTGACTTGCCATTTCCTTATTTTGATACCATGGTACATTATAATGTGAGTGTGATTCTTTGAATCCTTTTTCAGGTTTTGAAGTTAAAGTAGTAACGTCCGATAACTATGTAAAGCGTGACTCAGGTCTTATATTGTGGGATATTGCTGTTGGTGAAGGTGATTGCCCAAAGGATGGCCAACAGGTTTTCTTTCATTCTTTGTTACTGTAAAGCTGTGATTTGCTTTTAGTAGAATGTCATTAATTTTAAATGCATCCATGAATCATTGGGAAACGAGTATATAATGGTGCCGTAGTTCATCGTTTATGTTCATTCATTGCTCTACCGGAGTCTTGGAACCGATATGGTACATTCACAATAAAACAAAGCAAGAAGAAATGCATTTAATTTTCTTTTCCTATGCTTCCTTTTTGTATATTCTTTATAATTGATTTGTATTTATTGCATTCAAGAGTTTCATTTGGTCTTCTAGAAACTATCACTGCACAGGCGATGGTGTCTTGGCTGTTACTATTATAGTTTGTAATAAGATGATTCTTGGATGTCTATATTATGGGAATAACGCTGAATTTCAAGAAACCAAAAGTTGGATGCTCTGCCAGTCTCTGAAGGAATTAATGTATCGCAATCGTTCTGAAATCTATTTTCCTTCACAGAGATGTGACCGTTTTAAGTATTATGCAGTTATTCTGACATATGCACGGTTGATAAACACAAAAGAGCTGACTCGGGCTCATTAAACTATTGCTAAGCTCGGTTGGGATTGGCTCGACTTGGCACCTAGGCCTAGTAATGATCCTTTCATGTTTCACTTAATTTATAAACATTAAAAGACAAATGGGATTTTATTACCTTAATAGGTATTCCAATTACATATTAAATGGAACAAAGAAAGGTTTACTAGCATTAAGAATGATAACGGGATATGTCGCAGCTGGAGCTTACTGAGGACATGACCCTTGATAGAAGGGTGTGGAGGTCGAGGATCAGGATAGATGGTTAGTAGGTAGTCGAGCGTTTCCCTTTATCTTCCTCAATTCGATAGCATTAGTGTTAGTTTGTCATCCTTTTATTCTTAGATTGCTGCTATTACCATTTAATTGCTACCTTGGCTGCAGTCTTCTTTTTGTCTTGTTGTTGTTAATACATGTTGCCATTACTTCTTTTTATCTTTTCTTTAGCCGAGGGTCTTTTGGAAACAACTTCTGTGCCCTTCCTGGTAAGGGTAAGGCTGCGTACATCTTACTCTTCCCGGACCCCACTTATGAAAATTCACTGGTTTTTTTTTTTTTTGTTGTTATTATCACCAGAATTATTTTACTCCGTTGACAGGTGACTTTCCACTATATTGGTTATAACGAGTCTGGACGTCGTATAGACAGTACATACCTACAAAATGCTCCTGCAAAGATTCGGATGGGCACTAACGCATTGGTCCCAGGTGATCTAAGCAAACACACAATGTCATAACCTTTTTTAACTCTCAGATATGAGAAATATTTGCAGTAATAAGCAGAAAATGATGAATGCAGGTTTTGAGGAAGGAATTAGAGACATGAGACCTGGCGGGAGGAGGAGGATTATAATACCTCCAGAACTAGGACCGCCGGTAAGTGTCCTTTAGTCTGCTCCTCAATTGAATGCTTTTATAATCAGTATCATCTAAAGCTGTTATGGAATAAAAATAAGCATTTAGACCTGCATGCATTGTGTTGCATTCTTCCGATATTATTTATTTGATAAGAATCTATTTCTGATACTGCTAACTAACAGAAGCCAAGGAAGCTCTTAATACTTCTTTTGCTCGCGTTTGTAATTTCTTTCGTCTTCCTCAGCCATTTACATAGTGTGATTTCAGTTGGAGTACTCCTTACTCAGAGAACCTATATATACATTTTGCCACTTTAAGGATAAGTTCCTTGTAAACTTGGAGTTATTAGGAACTCAAAACTACCAACACGAATCCTTTAACTAGTGTTTTAAAAGGCATTTTCAGGTCGAGGCACACCAAAAATGCCCCGCGGCGATGGTGTGGTGCGAAAGTCTCAAGAGGCGTACGCCCAGCAATTCGGGGCGTACGCCCGGGCGTTTGAGGTGCGTTTTTGTAGTGAGGCGTAAGCCTCAGAGACTTTTTCAAATTAAAATAAAATTTGTTGAATAAGTCCTTCATATAATACCCAAATTCTCAAAAGTCAGCTTGTAATTACTCAAAAGTTTTAAAAAGGAACTGAAATGTATTAAATTTAAAAGTCAAGACCTTTTTTTATTGATTGAAGCCCTAATTTATGGGTTTTCCCAATTCTTTATTTTGTCCACTAGTATGCTAATATCTCCCCAAAACAACGAATATTTAATTTTTTTTTTTTTTACAAATACAAAAAGAACTTCATTCTCCTTCATAGCAGCAAGTTCAAAGTTCAAATTGCAGGTTAGTCATCCTTTTTGTTCCTCTATATAGAAAACTTTATTCTTTTCGACTCCAGTTACTTGTGCTTGTAAGTAGCGTATAATATATTGTTTTGACTAGTTTTTTATGGGATGGAGCACATCTATATATATATATTTCACATATTTATAGTTTTCTTCAATTTTTATGCAATTTTACATGTTTATAAATATTTACAGTAATTATATTATTTTATAAAATATTAAAAATTAAATACCCAACTGTCAGTAACTACCAACACAAACCTAGATGTAGTTTCTGTTCTAATCAATTGGTTTAACAGGATTCAATTACACATTAATTTTGAAAATTGTTTGTAATACAAGTGATTCTATCCATATATTGTATGATGTTGATTAACTGAGTTTGGCGTTCTAATACATCCTTATAAAGTATCTGTATCTTTGTATATTATGAAGAACAAATTGCAGTTTTGGTTCCTGGTTTATAGACATCGTGCTTGATTTGTCTTACTCTTTGAATTGTGCGCATAATATGCAATTCGTAAAGCAACATAAATAAGTGGAACCTCTTTCTACATTGTTATTTTGGTTGTGAGAAAATATCACTTGCTATGCAAATGACCCATTTAGAAGAAATCTAGAAATTTTAAATTGCATGTTCTAAAAACTAAGTGTTGTGGTATATGTTGTAGATTTCATGAGTTCTAATTGACTGCACTTCACATTAGTGTACACCAGCAAGTGCTTATAAGCAATTGACACACTTATTTGATCGTTAAGCAGCGGATACACTTAAAAATGCGAAACATGTCATTAGTTTTTTTCGCTCCAACTTATGTTTATACCATTTTGTCGTAGCACAAAAACGTTTTATGAAGAAGAAAGGAACTTTTTTTTTGTTTCCCGAGTATTTAATTTTTTTCCAGATAATTAAGATTGAATTACAGCTAGATACCAAATATAAAAGGAAAAGAACTCTACCTTAAATATTTTCTGAAACAAAAGGCAACTTAATCTTTTTAATATTATTATGAGAACTTAAATCAGTATGCATATTAAAGTTGTGCGGATTTGGCACCAATTGATGGGGTTTGTTCCTTCCCCGATGGGTGAATAAATGAAAGTACGGCTTGAGCTTTAAGGGCACATATTGCTTTTCCATCCAAAAGTAATGGTGTTAAGAGAATCAGTGTTATCAAAGGCGCACTTAAAGTGCGCTAAATCCCTAAAGCGAGGCTCAAAACATGTTGAGCACTTCGTCTCGCTTAACAGGCGGTTCAGTGTTGTCATCAAGGCTCTAAAACATATTTTTCCTTACCAATGGCGTAATCCTACTAAACAATTGATATTTCACTTTATTATAAATTATCTTTAATTTCTTTGTCCATATATTTGGTATTCATGCTTATAGATATTAGTTTTGGACTACACATATATATTTGTTACTTTTCTCCATTTGTGTCTTTCTTCACTAAAACCCACACTTTATTTGTGTTTAGCGCTTAGCCCCAACAGACCAGAGAATGCCTTTTTTTTCTCCTCATTACTTACTTTAAAAGTTGGATATTAGGTGCATAGTTCAGGAAAGTATGATGAGAGATGCATGACTTCTATAACTAGGCACAAAATACTACATTTGTTCTTTCAAGATATGTATTAAAACGTTGTCACCTTTGAGGTCGCTTTTGCAACTCCCATGACTTGAGAATAATAAAGGTTAAAACGTTAAAAAAATGTAGAAACATTTCAGTAGTGAGCGCTTTACCCCTCTTAGTAAGACTACTTGGCGCGGATCTGGATTAGTTGGGTCTGTGAGCTTTGAATACTTGATGGTTAAGTTGGAAAAAAAAAACGTTGAAAATCACGTTTGGAGCCAATCTTACGCTATTGTATTTCTCAAACTAGGGTGTAATTTACTAGTCTATTGCAGACTTTGATTATTGCGCCAAGTAATATATAGCACTGTTTGGAAGTTTGAACGTGCATAAGTAGAATGTATCTTGATATTTTAGAATTATTCATTTTTCACAGGTTGGGCCTTCAACGTTTTTTAGCTCAAAACAGTTTGAAGTATTTGACGTGGAACTGCTAGGCATTCAAGACTGCAAACGGAGGACAATAGCAGGCTTCTACTCTGATGTTGTCTGCAATTAAGCAATAATCCCCTTTTGTGAATATTTTAGTCACATCTTGCATCATTATTATCAGAAGAGACTTGTTTTTATTTTTCCCTTTTCATTCTTTTACTGCAAATAGAGAAATGGAGGAAAGTAAAGACTAGGCTAGAGATCACAAAGGTAGTTCTGGAACAGTAAATTTCTACTGAAAGTAACAGGAGACTATCCTACTGTTATTTGATTAAGAGGTTCATGTTTGCTGAGAAATCTTGTATTTGTTGTATCTATAAATCAATTCGAGAACTTTTCTTGGCAAGAATGGGCCTATAGAACTACTTGTGCTTGATCTTTCTCTAGTATTATGCATCAGTAACTGAATGAACTCCTTGGATCGTCGAGAATTAAAAGGAAACAACAGTGAGGTGAAACTTTTTAGAACAAAACCAAGCACAACGTTTATCCTAGCTACTATTTGAAAGGTCAGAACGGTTACATAAAATGAGACGGAGGAAGTGATAAACAATTCTCAGACTACATGCACATGAATATGAGTGTTTGCTTCCCTACCTTTTTTCGCCCGAAATACTCTTTTAGTATTTTGGAGGTTAAGTTATTGTTACAAATAAACCATCAACGCTCCGTCGATTGTCCAACAATCTCTTCTTTCTCAAAAGGAAAAGTCGGAAGTGAAGTATAATAGAACCTGTCAAAGTTTAAATTCGATCAATAAGCAATTACATTTAAAAGAAAAACCAATGCAGTTGATGGCAAATTACCTACCCAAGTGGAAAGAAGCATATACTACTATACCAAACGAGATTTGAAACCAAAACCATAAATTCTCATCACCTTGCTGTAAACACTCTAGTGCACCTAGAGACAGAGCACACTGATCTGAAGGAAATTAGACAGCGTTCCTACCAAAGTACTCTAAACTAAACTAAACTAAACCTGCAGATTAGGTCCTAACTCAAGGACTTCACAGGTCCACAACTCCAAAGATCCATATTATACTTTCAACTTGCTCAGACGGGAAAGGAGTCAATGTCAGCATTTGATTGAACCATGAGTTCGGCGAGAAAATATTCATGACTGACCACACTTATAATCCAAGTAACAAGAAATACACAAAGGTTAAGAGGTGAGGATTTACACAATAATGGCAATATCAGTAAATTAATCTCTAACATGGTCCTTAGTCTGAAATCAATCCAGAAAACTGTTGTTGTAATCTAGAAATGCAACACATAAACCAGAAACAATTTAAGAAACTATAAAGTTGCAATTGTCCACGGCAATAAGATCGCATGTGGTTCTTTTTTATCAGTAAACAATATAAGTTTCATTGAAATCCAGCAGGAAGATGGTGCGGTACAATTACAGTGTATATATCCAAAAGCAGCACCAAGCTTTCCTACAGCAGTAAGCTCAAGTGTAGTTTTTAATCAATAGATTACAGATAAATCTACATATATACACACACATGGAACAACAGCATTTGACGAATGCAATTTTATGTGGCTTGAATGGGAAACGAGAGCTCCTCTAATTCTTGAGGACATTGCGTCAAGATTCTTACAGTTGATAAAATTGTAATCAAGGTCGATTGAAAACCATTAGAAGCTTAATCACGGAGCTTCTTCTGCAGGTGCCCTATGGTAAATAATTGATGTTTTCGAACTTAGAGGATTGGCATGATATTGTCCATAACCCGCATAAATTCCAACTGTAACTATGCTCAGAACAACAAATCTCACCCATGCTTCATAATGCAACTGCAGAAAAGGAAATGGAAAAATGAGCTTGGATTCCAATCTTTTAGTTTATCGCATCCGACGATATTTGAACTATGTTTACGGTAATGGATGAAGCTTTGTGAGCAAACCTGGGCAAAAAGAAAAATATTGATGAAGATGCAAACAATAGGCACAATGGGCACTCCTGGGCAAGAAAATCCAGGTGTCTCAGTATAAACCTGTGAAGAACAAAGGAGAACCTGAAATTTAGAAAACAATGCTATACACTGTTGTGGCAAAATATAACCTGAAATTGGGAAAACAATGCTATATAGGTAAAACATTATTTTGGTAATATGCCGTCGAATGATGTATGTATGAGGTTTGCAATGTTGTCTTAATTTTGGATCCTGAAATGGATAAAACCCTCGATAGGATAAAACCCTCAACAATGTTGTTGTCTTAACATAAGATTAGGAATGAAGTTATTCGGGATAAGGTGAGAGTGGTTCCTATAGAGGGTAAAATGCGGGAATTGAGGCTGAGGAGGTTCGGGCATGTGAAGAGGAGAGACATAGAGGCCTCCGGTTAGAAGGTGTGAGAGGTTGACCATAGCGGGTCTGAGGAAAGATAAAGGTAGGCCAAAGAAGTACTGCGTAGAGGTGATTAGGCAGGATATGGCATTGCTTCAGCTTACCGAGGACATGACCCTTAATAGGAAGGCGTGGAAGTCGAGAATTAGGGTTCAATTAACAGATAGTCGAAAGTTTTTCCTAGTATTACCAGTAATATTAGTACTATTCTTGTATTTTCTTATTCTTATATCTTTATTTCTATCTGTTGTGTTGTTTGCTCCAGTTATCTTATTACCTTTTTTTTTTTTGGGTAATATGTCCTCGCATGATGTATATATGAGTTTTGCAATGTTGTCTTAACTTTGGCCCCTGAAATGGATAAAATCCTCAATGGGATAAGCTCTTGACTTGTCCTGAGATAAGATTAGAAATGAAATTATTCGGGATAAGGTGGGAGTGACTCCTATAGAGGATAAGATACAAGAAATGAGGCTGAGATGGTTCGGGCAGGAGGTGTGAAAAGTTGACCATGGCAGGTCTGAGGAAAAGTAGAGGTAGGCTAAAGAAGTATTGGGGAAAGGTGATTAGGCAGGATATGACATTGCTTCAGCTTACCGAGGATATGACCCTCAATAGGAAGGTGTGGAGGTCGAGAATTAGGATTCAAGGTTAACAGGCAGTCGAGAGTTTCTCTTACTCTTACCAGTAGTATTAGTACTATTCTTATATTTTCTTATTCTTAAATCTTCATATCTGTCTGTTGTGTTGTTCGCTCCTGTTATCTTATATTACCTTCTTTTTTTTTGTGTGTGTGTTGGGGGG